CCTTAAACCTACAAACAACCCAACCCTACGCTTATGCGCGCAGGTAGAAATTCAAGATCTACGCCGCTGCATGGCTACGCTGGGCAGGAACTACGCGGCTTTGGAGGCACGCGCTGTTGCTGGGCGTTGCCCCGGGAGCACCAGACAATATTTGTTTTTTTGGATCTTTGGCCTTAGGGTGTTGCGTACACATGGCTTCCTAGTTTTCTCGGAGCGAAAAGCAATCGTTTGATGGTAAGTGGCTTGGACAAGCTTGATGAAAGTTCACCGTTGGACGGAGAATAGCGCAAGTTGTTGTATGTTGCGCATGATGTTGTTGATTGCCAATACACCATCAAAAACCTTACAATGTTGGCAACCAAGATGAGCAACCCACGTCAGCGTGCAACGAAAGCCTTGAGACAAATGGTCACATACAGGCATGGTACCTCAGGCGAGTGCACGAGGTTGACCAACGGCGGAATGCACACCAACTTGTTTGGCAACTTGTTTAGTGGCTCAGATTGGGCTCTGCGTTGCACGGGAGAGCTTCGTTGGACAGTGTGGCCAGTGTGGCTATGTGTGCAACGAGGAGCCTGTGACAAATTTGCACGTTGTGACGGCATCAACGCCAAACTTTGGCGGGGTGGAAATGTTGGTATTGGATACCATGGACCACAATTTGGGCTACAACGGTTGCACTTGTATTCTTCATGCCTTGCACATTGGATGTGCATGAGGAAACCATGTGTTGATATGGCCACGCATGTATAGGATTGTTGTTTTATGCAGTTTGAGTGCATGCATGGGCAGGCATCTGAATCCCAAGAGACATTTCCCAAACAGAGAGAGGGCCGAGCACAAAGGGATTGAATGTCGGCAAGGGCCACAAGGCACAATTCTCCAGGTAAGGTCAGGCACCTGTCGATTCCCATCCCCCCACCAAAGAAGAAGCAACCAACTCAGGAAGTAAGAAGATCAAATGAAATCAGCAGACAGGAGTTGTGACGGCAGAGGTTGCGCCTTGCAAGAAGAAGAAAAGAAGCAGAATAAAAAGAAACTGGCGTCCAACAGATGCATTCGCTTGGTTCGAGTAGGGAGTTTGGTGCATGGAGGTCAGGAGGAAATTTACGTTACGCGTTTGATGGTCTGACGTGAGAGGCCTGACGTGAGAGGACAAAACGACCGAGCACCAGCAAAAATGCCGGACTTTTCCTTGAGTTGGTTAGAAGCCGAAGTGGGCATTATGGCGAAATGTGAGAGAGAGAGGTGGTGATTTTACGTTAGGAGGCGTTGTGGAAAATTTCGGGAGAGCAGAAGGGCAGCTAGGCCTAGGTGCAAGATGCGTCGAACAGTGTCATGGCCACTTAGCTTCCCTCTAAAGAAGGGCAGGCTGTGCCAGCCAACCGAACGGAGCGGAGTCCACTGTAGGCGAGGTTGGGAGCAGATCAGGAAGCCTTAAGCCTAAACAATGTGTTTCCCGTGATTTTTGTAGTCTTTTTCAACATACCCGCGGGGACATACCCGCGGGCTAAGCACTATACAGCACTGCACACGCATGCGAACCCGCACATAGTTTGTGAGCAAGTTTGGGCACGCAGACGGCTGCGAAATGATGGGTAAACACATGCTGTACAACCAGCGGCGCTGAAGTAATTCACGTGTTGTGGTTTGACGCTGGAATGTTGCTGCAGGCTGAGAAAGATGATCTTGCAGCTGAGCGAGTCGAGCTGATGAGCCAGCTGCCCGTGGTATTAAATACCTTGTCGCCAGAGGATGTGCATGTCGACCACGGCTCGATGATTGGACGCGGTGGTTTCGCACACATCCTGAGAGGACATTTGGATGGAGAAGCCGTGGCGATCAAAACATGTCGGAATGCAGATGAAGGAGAAGACCTCCTCCGGGAGGCTCGCATGTTGGCGGCCGCGGCTGGACCACACATCGTGGCATGTCATGGTGTGCTGACGCAATGCGGCGTCGGACCCGTCATTGTGCTTGAGATACTAGGGCCGTCTTTATCCACAGCTCCAGACATGTGTGGCAGTGTGGACGTGTGCTGGCAACTATGCACGGGCCTAGCGCATTTACAACTTCGCCAGATCCTCCACCGAGACATAAAGCGGGCTAACACGCTGATATCGACCGATGGCCTGGCCGGCAGCGAGCCGATGTTGAAAATCTGCGATTTCGAATGTTCAGTTTACGCTTGTGGTTGGGTGTGTGGCATGGCAGGCACACCTTGCTATTGGAGCCCTGAAATGCAGCAAAAGCAGCCATACGATTTCCGTCATGACGTTTGGTGCTTGGGCTGCCTCCTTTCCGAGCTTCAGGACTCGGACGAGCTCGGCTGCATCCTCGATTGGGTTCGTGCACAGGATTTGCGGAACAGACCGTTCGCCAAGGACATTCTGCTTGCACTGCGCGAGTGAAAGAAAAAGGGTCGTGTTTTCACCGGCAACTGACAAACATGTTGCTAGTTGTCCCAAGATGGATGCTCAGATTGACAATTGGTCCGTTTCTGGGAAGGGGGAGGGAACTTCCAGGGAGAGCCTGGCTCACTGTAAAATCCAGTGCATTGTGGGTGCCCCGGCCGTGCGCACCTTGGACTCGGACTGGGGTCGTGTCGTTTGTTTTCTCGAGGGGTTTGGGTAGCTTGGTGGCAGGCATGCACCAAAAAAATGCAAACAAAGAGAGCGTTCCTCCTGGGAAAACACAAAAACGGTCATTACAGTTTTGGAAGGCGCCGCTGCAGCAGTGATTTGATGACCATTGCTTCGACGACCGCCGCTTCGCACTCACGCACGCTCGCACGCGCGGACGGACGGGCTTGCCACACGGCAAGGAGAGCGTCTGCGTCAAACTGCTTAGAGTGCTCCAACAAATTACAGTTCCCCTGAAGTAGGTAGAATATAGGGTATATGAGGATCTTATTATAATAAACCCAAAACCATATTCTATCAACTTACTGGGGATTATAGACGTCATTGGTTGTTGACAGATGACGAGTCTGTCGAAACTGCGCCACGTGTGCATGGTTTTCCCTTTTATCAAAGCACGCAGCTAACGTCTTGATGAGAATCACAGCTGGAGCGGCAAAGCCTTTTTGCCGATTGCCATGACGCGGGCTCGTGGCACAGAGAGCCGACGAGCCTCCACACTCAACTTGGACAAAGTGTTGCATCATCACTTTCAAGTTGTTGTTGTTGTTGTTGCTGCTGCAGATGTGTGTGAAGGCCGCTGTTGTTGCCTCTGGGCACCCGGGCCCCCCTGCAAGGCCCTTAAAGCCCCCTATACGCCCCCCAAACCCCTGAGCCACCAAATATACTATAGTACAGTAGAATATAGTATAAGAAAGTCCTTTGGGCGCCTGTTTTGCCACCGATCTCGATTCGCACTCGGCGGCCTGCCGTGTACATGCCACCCGTGTTTTGGACTCTGTCCTATGGGGACCCACAATATGTACCATAGGTTCCCCTATGGTGTGTTTTGACGCTTGCAGGCCTGAAGGCCCGATCGAGGCCTCGGCGATTACAACGAAGAGCGCAAGCTTGAAAGGATCTGCAAAACGTGCAACCTGGTTTAGGCCATGCGCTGCGTGGCATGCTTCTCCTAAATAGCTTGTGGGCGAGATCAGGCCTAACTAGGCCTCAGTGCAAGGACCGCAGCAGCAGGGCATGAACGGAAATGGTACCCCGATATTGACCGCCAAATACTATGACACTTATTATGGCGACCTCCAAACAAAGGTACCCGTAATGTTTGGAAACCCTCAAACCGACTCGAACCATAAGCCCTAAATCCTATATATCCGCCTATAACCCCAATATATATCCGTATAAACCCCTTTAAAGGGTACCCCTAATTTTGGGGAAACCACCGGTATGCGGCCGCCGGTCAGGGGAATGCGCTTTAGGTTTGTCGCGGGGTCCCAAGCAGGACGACAGCTCAGCTGGCCGTAGCCGGTTTGACAGTACATTTGTGCCACAGAGTTGCTCAGAGGACTCAGGATTCCGCTGGGAAGCGCGCAGTTACACTGTTGGCCTTCAAGTGTTCATCATGTCAGATACAGAAAGCTCCTGCCTGCTGTTGGCTGGTTGAGGAGGGTGCTTGGTGCACAGACATGTACATAGTGACACGGTGGCATCATGCTTCCTGAATTGCGCCTGTGGCATCATGCTTCCTGAATTGGACCACGTTGCAGTGCTTCTGGTTCGTAGGACAAACACAACATTGGCGCAATACCATCTGCGGCAGCTTATAAGAAAAGTGATTGGTTGGTAGCTCAACTAGGACGGCAGTGTTTGCCAAATCTAGCCTAGCTGGCCTAGCTTGCGTGTTGGAGTTTGGAGGCAGGGTGCTGGCATGAACTGGTGACAGGCCTTATTGCTGGTTGCTTGCGCCAGGAAGGCCGTACAGAAGGCAGTTGGTCCCTTTGAAACATGGGCTTTCCGAAGGCCGTCACTTCGGTGGCCGTCAAGTTCCCTGGCAGCCATTGTAGTCAGTGCTTTGTCAGAAGTCAGACCTGACGCTTGACCGTCGCACAACTCTTGTCCTTGTCCGACCTGCTGATTTTGCATCCAGGCGAGTTGGCGGCGCGGCCTTTCGCGTTGGTTTTGCCGAGATGAGTGGGTGGCGACCTAGCATGGAGGATGCACATGTAATCCATTTTCGAGATACCTGGGGCTGTTTCGGCATCTTCGACGGCCACGGTGGTGATCAGTGCTCTCGTTTCATATCCAGACGCTTCAGCGAAGAGCTGACCAAGAACGGCATGCCTGAAAGTGATGAAGCTGTTACAGAGCTGGTCGGCAACCTAGCCTTGTACTACGGTGTCCGTACGTTTTCGGAAGCTGACAGGCTGCGCACAGATGCGTCTTCACTGATTGCTGTCCTGGTCAGGCATTGCGCTTAGACAAGGAGTTCTTGGACTCCAACGAGCCCAGCGGATCCACAGGAACATTTGTCATGCTTCAAGCGCCAAGCGCACCTGGAGGCGTCTTGGCTGCATTGCGCTTCCGTGCCACGGCTGTCCCGCAACATGCCTGTGATGTGGGCTGTAGTCTCAACCCCTTCAAAGGGGGCTACATAGAAGCCTTTATAGGGGAGCATTCTAGGGGTTACTAAGGGGCACACTAGGAGTTTAGACGATAGGTCATGTGGGGTTTCAAATGTGCAACCAAGTCAGGTAGCCCAAGGTTGCCCTGAACAGAGTCAGGCAAATATCAGCTCCGCGTGGGCAACATTGGTGATAGCCGTGTCCTTTTGGGGCGGGCTGATGGTTCGATCTTCCCCAGTGCCGGTGTGGTGAGGACCATAAGCCCGACCTGCCGAGCGAAAAAGCTCGGATTGAGCACGCTGAGGGAACGTTCAGAAAGCCCCGGACTTAGATCCGCAGAAAGCATGTCTTTGGTCTCAAAAGGTGGACGCCAGGAAATGGGAGTGCCGCGGGTGAACGGCTTGGCCGTTAGCCGTGCATTCGGGGCAACGCTCAGCGTAAGAAGATGGGAGGCCTCTGCGATTCACAGTCACGCTTCTGAAGTTGGCTTTAAACCTGCTTTCATATCATTCTTATCGTCTCGTTGGTCGCAGCCCGCAGGAGCAGCCAGTAAGCTGCGCTCCCGAGCTTCAGGCCTAGTGGTGAACAGCACCGATGCAGATCTGCATGTGGTTTGGCCGAGAGGCATTTACGGCGTCGCACACCGACTTCCTCATTGTGGTTTGCGACGGCATTTCAGAAGGCTTGCCTTGGGGGGGACCTTCGGCATAGATATATCCGTGGCGATGAGCCGGAGCCTGATGCAGGCAACTTCCCAAGCAAGGCCGTGGTCGGGCATTGGCAGTGCCACTCCACTTGTCGCATGAGGCAGCAGCCTTACTTCGATGGCTGGCGCCGGCCTGAACAGCGTCTGACAAAACATATCATTAGCACACACACCTGCGTGCTTCAGGAGCTGGGCGGCTGGCATGCCCGAACAGCTGCAGCCTAAGCCCATCGACGAGTTGCGATTGTGAGTTGATCAGCTGGTCCTGTGATGTGACAGTCGAGATGCAAGTGGGCATGGGCAGTGCCACTCCATGTTGTCGTATGAGGCAACCTTACTTTGATGGTTGGCGACGGCCTGAGCCGCGCGGCCGCGCCTGACAAGCGATATAATCATCTCAGTTACAGTTGGATGTGGCAGATAATTGATAGTTGCCGTGATCTCGGCACGGTGCGTGCAACGATTATTCGGCTTCAGGATGGGAGCTGCGTGGGCACCTCAGCAGCCCTACCCTCAGAAGGACGGAGTCGGTTCCCAGGCGTTGACCGTGTGACAAGGTCTGTAGAAGCTGCGCCGTTGGTTTTGACAGTTTCCAGTTTCTTGACTCGCAGTGTCCTAGCATCTCGTGGCGGTCGGTGTGAGAAGCTTAAAAGTCACCTAGCGTAGGCCAGCAAACTGCTGAGGGGGCTCGGCGGCTTGAAGTCGCGGCCTGTGCTCCGCCCTGTCGGGCCAAGCAAGCACGATCCCGAACCCGCTTCGCGCAGCAGCAGTCCGGGGTCGGCAACGCAAAAACTCGGAAACTAGAAAAGTGCAATGGCAGACATCACCTCTTCGAGTGATCACGCCCTACTAGCAAAAGCGGTGACCGAGGTGTTGTTACAGTCTACCGTAAACAACCCCTACCCCTAATAACAGCTCCGACACTCAGTATGCACGCTGCGTCCGGCATGACATACGGCAGAGAACACAGGAGTCCGTAGCAAAACCCCGACAGCAAGTGCAGCCTCCTGCGTCCAGCGAGGACTGCACACCTGTGTGTAGTTTGCCAACGAGCCGTAAGTTGTATCAGACCCTGGCGCTCAGCCAAATCACATGCGCATTTCTGTAAAGACAGTAGTTCTAGCCCGCTTGGCTCGAGTCGAGTGCCGTCGTCAGTGAATGTCAGTGATGTGCCAGCATGATTCCGAGACATCGTGAAGGGAAACAGGGTCGCTTCCGACCCCCCAAAAGGTGTCACTTCCGACCCCCCGCAACCCGGACAGCCCGGACAACAGCCCGGACAGCCCGGACAAACAAACAGGACAGCCCCGGACAACCCCACAGCCCGGACAACAGACCGGACGGCCCGGACAAGCAAACAGGACAGCCC